CCCTATGTTTTTGGACCCTGACCCTGCGGATCTGCGTGAGGGGTGGCACCGAATTTCAGAAATGTGTAAAATCCCATGTTTTTTTGGACCCTGGCCCCGCGGATCTGCGTGAGGGGTGGCACCGAATTTCAGAAATGTGGCAAATCCCCTGTGTTTTTGGACCCTGACCCCGCCGATCTGTGTGAGGGGAGGCACCGAATTCAGAAATGTGGCAAATCCATTGTGTTTTTGGACCCTGACCCCGCGGATCTGCGTGAGGGGTGTCGATTTCGAGCTCCCCCAGCAATGCAGACAACGCGCCCAGGGGACGCTAAAAAGCCACTTTGGGCCTCCCCCCTCCTCGCGCTAGTTACAGTAACCAGCAATAAGTCAACTAGTTACAGTAACCAGCAAGAAGCAGAACTGTAGCACTGGAAACTACAACCTACGACTGGTACAGGAAAATGCGAATTTCAGCGACTTAAAGCCTGGTGCCCACAAGGGGCCGGCGGATTTCGACTCCAACACATCCTCAACCCTTTCCTCATCCTAGACATCCGCCTCGGGCGAACTGGACCACCCCCTACCCCCCCCCCCCCCTCCCCGACCCCCCCCCCCCCCCCCCCCCCCCCCCCCCCCCCCCCCCCCCCCCCTCCCCACCATCCTACCCACCGCTCCAGGTCATCAACACATATGCATGTTAGACATCCAACTGGGCGACCTGGGCACGTGAAAACATGCGCTTCGCTCGAGACCTTCTCAACACCTCCTCATGCTAGACATCCGCCTGGGCGACCTGGACACGTGAAAACAAGCGTCTCTCTATCGAGACATCCTCAACACATCATCATGTCATCCGCCTGGGTGACCTGGACACGTGAAAACAAGCGTTTCGCTCGAGACATCCTAAACGCATCCTCACGCTAGACATCCGCCTGGGCGGCCTGGACACGTGAAACCAAGCGTTTCGCTCAACGCATCCTCAACACATCATCATGCTCGACATCCGCCTGGGCGACCTGGACACGTGAAAGCAAGCGCCTCGCTCGAAACATCCTCCCAAGATCTTCATGTTAGACATCCGCCTGGGCGACCTGGGCACGTGAAAACAAAATCCGCCGGCCCCCTTGTGGGGCCACCAGGCTGCGAGGCGCGTGATTCGCAGTTTCCTGTACCAGTTGTAGTTTGTAGTTTCCAGTGTTACAGTTCTGCTTCTTGCTGGTTACTGTAACTAGTTGACTTCTTGCTGGTTACTGTAACTAGTTGATTGACCGCGCGAGGGGGGGGGAGGCCCAAACGGGATTTTTAGCGTCCCCTGGGCGCGTTGTCTGAATTGCTGGGGGGGCTCGAAATCGACACCCATCACGCAGATCCGCGGGGTCAGGGTCCAAAAACACATGGGATTTGCCACATTTCTGAAATTCGGTGCCACCCCTCACGCAGATCCGCGGGGTCAGGGTCCAAAAACACAGGGGATTTGCCACATTTCTGAAATTCGGTGCCACCCCTTACGCAGATCCGCGGGGTCAGGGTCCAAAAAACACATGGGATTTGCCACATTTCTGAAATTCGGTGCCACCCCTCACGCAGATCCGCGGGGTCAGGGTCCAAAAAACACACGGGATTTGCCACATTTCTGAAATTCGGTGCCACCCCTCACGCAGATCCGCGGGGTCAGGGTCCAAAAACACACGGGATTTGCCGCATTTCTGAAATTCGGTGCCACCCCTCACGCAGATCCGCGGGGTCAGGGTCCAAAAACACAAGGGATTTGGCACATTTCTGAAATTCGGTGCCACCCTTCACGCACATCCATCGCAAGGCGTGGTAACCCAAACTGCGAGAACTCCCTCGGCCCTTTAATCGCAAGGTATGGTAACCAAGCCCGTACACCATACACGTCTTACCAATCGCCAGGTGTGGTAACCCCTCTTGTGATCAGTTGGTTTTGCTGATTGCGTTCGGCTTCGCATGAAGTCTCGATACTGCTTCACAACAGCGCCAAGGCCTCATGACTTAGCTCTTCCATGGCCCATTCTCCGAGAGAGGGGGCCGGCGGCAGGGGGCGAAGCCCTTACGGATTTTGCTCAACACATCCTCAACCCGTCCTCATGCTAGACATCCGCCTGGGCGAACTGGACACGTGAATGCAAGCCTCTCGCTCGAGACGTCATCAACACATATTCATGTTAGACATCCAACTGGGCGACCTGGGCACGTGAAAACATGCGCTTCGCTCGAGACCTTCTCAACACCTCCTCATGCTAGACATCCGACTGGGCAACCTGGACACGTGAAAACAAGCGTCTCTCGATCGAGACATCCTCAACACATCATCATGTCATCCGCTTGGGTGACCTGGACACGTGAAAACAAGCGTTTCGCTCAACACATCCTAAACGCATCCTCATGCTAGACATCCGCCTGGGCGGCCTGGACACGTGAAAGCAAGCGTGTCTCTCGAAACATCCTCAACAACGAATCATGCTAGACATCTGCCTGAAGACTTGGACGCGTGAGATCAAGCGTCTCGCTCGAGATGTCCTGAACACATCCTCATGCTAGACATCTGCCTGGGCAACCTGGAGGCGTGAAAGCAAGCGTCTCCTTCGATACATCCTCAAGACCTGGGCATGTGAAAACAAGCATGTCACCTGAGACATCATCTGAATTATGGTCCCCAGTTTGAGGACAATGTACAACACAATGCAAGCGTTTCACTCGAGACATCCTCAACAAGTTCTGCAGAAGAAGCGTTTCCCTAGAGACATGCTCAAACAAAAAATACCCTGCGACGTACTCAACCCATTTGCACCAAGTGACAAGAGGAGTTGGCCCACATGTGCCAGGACAATAACAGTGCAGACGCAGGTATATGTTGTGCGCAAGCTACATAGGGTACACTCGCATGGCAAGATTCACAGGACAACAAGAGAAGAACGCGGACCGAGGGCCCAGGCTTGAGGAGGATCTGGGGGCGGGAACGAAGGGCAGGAGAAGGACGCGTGGGGGGCCGAACCGTCAGCGATAGGACGTCACTCGCTCACTCGCTAGCCCCCCCAACAGCACTCGAAAATGGTGACAGTTTCGCAGATCGCAGCCCCCCAGGGATGATGAGGTCTAATCTGGATCTTCGTGGGACCCGACTCTGCTGGCCCCCCCAACAGACCTCGAAAGTGGCGACAGTTTCGCAGATCGCAGCGCCCCAGGGATGGCGAGGTCTAATCTGAGTCCGTGGCGAGTACCCACTATGCTGCCCCCCCCAGCAGCCCTCGAAAGTGGCGACAGTTTAGCAGATCGCAGCCCCCCAGGGATGGCAAAGTCTAATCTGAGTCCGCGGCGAGTACCCACTATGCTGGCCCCCCCAGCAGCCCTCGAAAGTGGCGACAGTTTCGCAGATCGCAGCCCCCCAGGGATGGCGAGGTCCTCAGCGCCGAGGCTCTATTGACGGCACGAGAGGCAGTTTCGCAGATCGCAGCCCCCCAGGGATGGCCAGGTAGGAGGCAGGCTAGCACGCAGGAAGAAGGGAGGTGAGAGGCAGGAGAGAAGGGGAGGGGAGGTGGGAAGGAGGACACGACCAATGCTCTATTCAAAACGAGAACCCAACGCAGAAGGGTTGGGAATAATTCAGCCGGCTCTCTTCGATCTCGTTAGTTATCACAGAATAATTCCGCAAGCCCTCTTCAAATCGATCCCGAGGGTAAACAACTAAAAGAGAACCCTGGGCCGGAGCCCTTTCCGGAAACATGATCGACCCACGAACCCGGAAAGGAATATAGAAATGTAAGGCATAGCAGCGTGGTCAAAGGCATCTGATTGGGCGACGGGCAAATGCAATGCTGAGTGTATCGATCTTGATGTACCGTGCCGACGGCTGTGCTGCGCTGCGCCGTGCTGAATTGCGATATGCCATGCCGCGATTGTGCTCTATATAGCGTTGTGGATCGAGTCCTCCTTTGCATCCGAGTCCTGACCGAACTGATCTGGATCTTAAGCTCGAGCTGCCTGAGCACATAGAAGCTGCTCCAGAGCTAATTGACAGGGGGACATGCCAGGAGGATGCGCCGAGGAACGTCCCAAGGGACGCCCCAGGCGACGCGCCAGGGGACGGGCCATGGGGACGCACCGCGGGACGTGCCAAGGGGACGCGCTACGCAACGTGCTGGGGACAAGCGCTTCGCTCGCGACATCCTGCGCAAATCCTCATGCTAGACATCCACCTGGGCGACCTGGACACGTGAAAACAAGCGTTTCGCTCAACACATCCTCAACACATCCTCATGCTAGACATCCGCCTGGGGCGAACTGGACACGTGAAAACAAGTGGTTCGCTCGAGACATCCTCAACACATCTTCCCTGGGCACGAGAAAACAAGCGTTTCGCTCGAGACCTTCTCGACACATCCTCATGCTAGACATCCGCCTGGGCGACCTGGACACGTGAAAACAAGCGTTTCGCTCAACACATCCTCAACACGTCCTCATGCTAGACATCCGCCTGGGCGAACTGGACACGTGAAAACAAGTGGTTCGCTCGAGACATCCTCAACAGATCTTGCCTGGGCACGAGAAAACAAGCGTTTCGCTCGAGACCTTCTCAACACATCCTCATGCTAGACATCCGCCTGGGCGACATGGACACGTGAAGACAAGCGTCTCGATCGAGACTTCCTCAACACATCCTCATGCTAGACATCCGCCTGGGCGATTTGGACGCGTGAAATCAAGCGTCTCGCTCGAGACATCCTCAACAAATCCTCATGCTAGACATCTGCCTGGGCAACCTGGACGCGCGAAACCAAGCGTCTCGCTCGAGACAGCCTCAAGACCTGGGCACGTGAAAACAAGCATGTCACCTGAGACATCATCTGAATTCTGGTCCCCAGGAGAAGACAATCTATAACACAAAACAAGCGTTTCGCTCGAGACGTCCTCAACAAGTTCTGCAAAACATGCGTTTCGTTCGGGACACCCTCAAAGATAATTCCGCCAGCCCTCTTCGACCTCGTTAGTTATCGCAGAATACTTCCGCAGGCCCTCTTCAAGTCGAGGCCGGGGGGGTAACCAACTAAAAAAGAACCCTGGGCCAGAGTCCTGTCCGGGAAAAACAGGCGACAACGGAGCTGGAGCAATCTGCCGCATGCATATGCGCACGGGGAAACCAGAAGCATCTATCGCAAGCAGACAGCCTCCAGCAAGACGCGAGGAATCAGTAACGGAGGAGGAAGAGGACATCCAGGAGAGGAGGAGGATATCAAGAGCATTTGAAGAAACCGCGGTCGAGAATCTCATGAGTGAAATCCGCAGATCCGGCGTGTGAGTTCCGAAGAGCCTAATCTACAGCCTACAGCCGGAGCTGCAGCCCTGCTGGGGGGAGGGCTGAAACCAGCAAACTGCTCGAGACATCCTCATCATCTGCTCATCATCATCATCATCATCATCATCATCATCATCATCAGCAGCAGCAGCAGCAGCATCAGCATCATCACCACCACCATCATCATCAGCAGCAGCTGCAGCAGCAGCAGCATCAGCATCATCACCACACCTTCATCATCAGCATGATGCTCATTGTCATCATCATCATTCATCAGCATCATCACCACCACCATCATCATCATATGCTCATTGTCATCATCATCATCATCATCATCAGCAGCATCAGCAGCAGCAGCAGCAGCATCAGCACCAGCATCAGTATCAGCAGCATCGTCATCAGCAGCATCATCATACACATCCATCATTCACCATCACCATCATACTCACATCATACTCTCACCATACCATGGTGAAGAGAAGGAGGAGGGAGGGGAGGGGTGAGAAGGGTCCGGCGCGGTCAGAGTAATAACAAGTACCCAATCTTAGGATATGGGAAAGAATAACCCCATCTTAGTATATGGGGAACAAAACTAAAACAGAACCCTGGGCCGGCGCCCTTTCGGGGAAAAGGAGCCGAAGAGGCCCAAACCATTGATTTTCTAAATGCTTTGAAGGACTTGGGCGCTTCATTCTTTTCGGCCTTCCGACGGCCCCAGAGGCCCTCAAGATCGCCCCAGATGCCTCCAAGATGGCCCTATGACGGCCCAAGAGGTCCTGAGACGGCCCCCAGAAGGTCTCAAGACGGCCGCATAGGCCCCTAAGACGGCCAGGACAGCCTCCAAGACGGCCCTGAAGTACCCCCAGTACTCCTAGATGGCACAGCAAGGCGGCCAAGACGGCTCCCGACGGCGTCCGACGGGCCAGGAACGCACTAAGACACCCAAAAAAGCTTCCAAGGAGCCCCCAAGGCACAAAGACCCCCTCAAGAGGCCTCATCCTACGACTGCCCCAAGAGGGCCCCAAGACGGCCCCGTAGGCCTCCAAGCGAACCCGAGCACCATCGGGAGCCCTCCCGGATCAGCGGCACTGGGCGCCGAGTGGCCCTACCGGGCCAACTCGGCTGGTTCTGCTTTCTGTGAGCCCGTCGGCACACCCCTCACACGGTTCGTGGCCCCATGGGGAGCTCCACCTGAGCCCCAAATGGCGCAGCCTGCATGTAGGCGCCACCCCTCATGTCGGCACATCCCTCAAACGTTTCGTGGCCCCATTACGTTCCGTGGCCTCATGGGGAGCTCCACCTGAGGTTACGGTAGCGCACCCGCATGTGGGCGCAATCCCCGTGTCGGCACACCCCTCACACGGTTCGTGGCACCAAAGGGACCTCCACCCAAGGCCCCAGTGGCACAGCCCGCATGCGGGCGACACCCCCTTTCGGCACACCCCTCACACGGTTCGTGGCCCCACAGGAAGCTCCACCTACGGTCCCAGGGGCGCAGCCCGCATGTGGGCCACACCCCCATTTCGGCACACCCCTCACACGTTTCGTGGCTCCACAGGGAGCTCCACCAAAGGCCCCAGCGACACAGCCCGCAACGGCGCAAGAGCGCCCCAAGACGGCCCAAGACGCCCCCAGGAGGCCCCAAAAGAAGCTTGCAAGAGAACCCAAGAAGTTCCGAAGAGGACCCAGGAAGCCCACAGGAGGCCTCCAAGAGGCACCAAAAAAGCTCTCACCAGGCCCCGCAACGACAGGACTGCACGTGCTCCGGACGTGAACCCCGCGAAGCGAGAAGAATCTCCTCGACGCGAGGGGCCGCATGTCTGGGCATTTCATGACGAGTATGAGAAGGATGCGACTACTACAACGAGAACCACTCGCGCGCTGCCGGCTGCTGGGCGTCGCCGCTGAGCTCCGCCGGCTGCCCCGACCCTGAGGAGGCGCTGTTGCTGGAAGCGGCACTGCCAGCTGGGTGCTCTTGGACGATGCCAGCCATGTACCAGACCGGTCCGATACACGCGCGGCGGTGTCCATCGAGGTGGTGTAGGCGATCGAAATTCTATCCATGCCCCTGCTCAGGCGCCAAACCTCGTCACGAGGTGCCAGAGCGGGGCTATGGATAAAACTCGCGCCTCTAAGGCCACGTTGTTCGAACACCGATCGCCGATGGTCTAGACTGCATGGCTGCCGCCGTCCGATGCTTGCCGGGACCCTGCCCCGACCCCGTGCAAGCGCTCGACGAGGCCCTGCTGGCGGCCGCCTTGCCGGCACTGCCCTCCCCGGGGCACGGGGCATCGGCGGCGGCCGCCGCAAGGCCGTCGCCCGCAGAACCTTCGGCGCCACTGGAGGCGAAGTCGGGGCCGTCCGGCGGCGCGGCCGCCGCGCTGTCCTGGGCCTGTGCCTGCCGCTGCACGGCGCGGCGGCGCCGCACGACCACCCGCAGCTCCCGCCGCCGCACCGTCTTGTTGTTGTTGGGACCGCGGGGCTCAGGCTGCTGGTCATCATCCGGCTCTGGCTGGGGCCGCAGGTCGCTGGTCGCATTTGCCATCGACTCCGAATCCTCGGCGCTGGAGCTGCCGGTGCTCCAGTGTCGGTGGTACACCTCCTGGACGCCCCACGGGCGCTCAGACCTCGAGCCGGGCGAGCTCGGCCTGCTACTCTCCGTGCAGGTGGGGCTCGTGCTGGTCGGCACGCTAGAGGGGTTGGCCAGCACAAGCACGACGTCCTGCGGCGCCCCACGCGTCGAGGGGCAGGCCGTTGAGCCAGAGCCGCGCCCAGACCGCCTGGAGTCGATGCGCCGCGCCGGGCTGCCGTCCTCCAGGGCGATCTCTGTTCCTGGAGCGTGTTTATTTATTCGCGCCGATAACAAGCGTTATGAGGGGGGGGGACCCCGGGGGGGGGCACACCTGCCCCGCGGTTCCGGCGCCACCACAGCGTCCGCGCGCACGACGACGACGACGACGACGACGACGACGACGACGACGACGACGACGACGACGACGACGACGACGACGACGACGACGAACGACGAGCGACGAGCGACGAGCGACGACGACGACGACGACGACGATGACGACGAGCGACGAGCAACGACGCCGACACCGACGCCGACGCCGACGACGACGACGAGCTACGAGCGACGACGACGACGACGACGACGACGACAGCGAAGCTTCTGGAGGCCTCATGAGGTTTCAGGAAGCCACCAGATGCCTTCCAGAAGTCATGAGAAGGCCTCAAGATGCCCTCGAAGGCCTTCGAAGGCGTTTAACAACGACGGGCGACCGCGAGTGATGACGACCGACGACAACGACGACGACGACCAAGAAGATGACGACGACGACGACGACGACGACGACGACAACGACGGCGACGACGACCGACAACGAAGCGCGACGACAACAACGACGACGACGACGACGACAACGACGACGAGCGACGACGACGAGCGACGACGACGACGACGACGACGACGATGACGACGATGCCGACGACGACGACGACGACGACGACGACCGACAACAAAGAGCGACGAGGAGTTGTGGCGAGCACATGCCTGCGAAGGCGTCATTGCATCCACGTGGCGTATAATTGGTATGCTCCTTTCCTCCCTCTTCCATCCTCGTCGGCGTCGTCGTCGTCGATGTCGTCGTCGTCCTTCTCCTCAGATCGCTCTCACTCCTACGAACACCGAAACTTGCCCGCGACCATCGCCCATGTGCGAATCTGTATGCGGATGCCTATGCGCATCCCTACGCGGAACCCTACGCGGAACCCTACGCGGATGCCTACACGGATGCATATGCGAATTGCCATGCAGATCCCTGTGCGAACCCCCTGCGGATTCTTATGTGGATACCTATGGAGATCCCTCTGGGGATCCCAATGCGGATACCCACGCGGATCTCTAGATGCGGATCCTTCTGCAAATCCCTGTGCGGATCTGGAACAAAAATCCCTGGGAATGCCACTGCGGATGCCTATGCGGATCCCGATGGATATATTTATGCGACCCCCAGGCGGATCCCTATGCGGAGTTCTGAGCGGATGCCTATTCGGATCCCGCTTCGGGTTTCTATGCGGATCCCTATGCGCACGGCGGCCGTGACGGGGGCGCACTGGGGACCGGAGCGTTACGTAAGGGGGGGCGGGAGGCCATAACGCGCGCTATGGCCGAGCAAAAAACCATGCCGACCCACGAACCCGGAAAGGAATATAGAAATGTAAGGCATGGCAACGTTTCAGTAACACCTGATTGGGCGACGGGCAAATGCAATGCTGATTGTATCGATCCTAATGTACCGTGCCGAGGACTGTGCAGTGCTGCGCCGTGCTGAACTGCGATGTGCCATGCCGCGATTGTGCTCTGTAGCGTTGTGGATCGAGTCCTCCTTTGCATCCGAGTCCTGACCGAACTGATCTGGATCTTAAGCTCGAACTGCCTGAGCACATAGTAGCTGCCCCAGAACTACTAAGCAGATGGGATGGGCATGCCAGGAGGACACGCCGCGGAACGTCCCAAGGGACGCGCCAGGAGGTGCCAGGGGACGTGCCGTGGGGACGCACCGCGGGACGTGCCAAGGGGACGCGATATAGAACGTGCCAGTGGACGTGCCACGGAACGTGCTAGGGGACGCGCCGCGTGACGCGCCAGGGGGACTCGCCACAGGACGCGCCACGGAACGTGCCAAGAAACGTGCCCGGGTGCAATGCTGATTGTATCGATCCTAATGTACCGTGCCGAGGGCTGTGCTGTGCTGCGCCGTGCTAAACTGCGATGTGCCATGTCGCGATTGTGCTCTGTAGTGTTGTGGATCGAGTCCTCCTTTGCATCCGAGTCCTGACCGAACTGATCTGGATCTTAAGCTCGAACTGCCTGAGCACATAGTAGCTGCCCCAGAGCTAATTGACAGGGGAGCATGTCAGGAGGACACGCCGCGGAACGTCCCAGGGGACGCGCCAGGGGACGTGCCAGGGGACGTGCCGTGGGGACGCACCGCGGGACGTGCCAAGGGGACGCGCTACGGAACGTGCCAGTGGACGTGCCAAGGAACGTGCTAGGGGACGCGCCGCGCGACGCGCCAGGACGCGCCACGGAACGTGGGATACGTGCCAAGTTGCAATGCTGATTGTATCGATCTTGATGTACCGTGCCGAAAGGCTGAGGTGGGGCCTCTTGGGGCCTCCTGGGGCGTTAGGAACCATGTGTTGTTGCGCTTGTTCCGTCCTCGGGCGTCAGGAACCCATGTGTTTTCACGCTTCTCCCGCCCTGTGGGAGTTAGGAACCATGTTTTTTCACGCTTCTCCCGCCCTGGGGCGTTAGAAATCCCATGTATCTTCACGCTTGTCCCGCCCTGTGGCGTTCGGAGCCCATGTGTTTTCACGCTTCTCGGGCCTCCTGGGGCGTCCTGGGGTGCGGGAGGGAAGCGAAAAGCGCTTCCCGAATACATGTCCCAAAACAGAACATACGTAACACAAGCCTTTGGCCTGAGACGACATCCTCAGAATTCTGGCCCCCCGGAGAGGAACAATATACAACACAAAACAAGCGTTTTGCTCCCCCTGGAGAGGAACAATATACAACACAAAACAAGCGTTTTGCTCGAATCGCAATGTCTTCCCTGGAGAGGCCCCCAAAGCGCCACCCCCTGTCCAGGGCAAGAAAACATGACTTTTCTGTATTGGGATATGTGTTGGGGTAGCGCTTTTCGGCCCACCGTGCGTTTCCTGATACTTCGGTGTTGGGCCCAACGCCATGTTAGATACCCCCTGGGCGGCCTGGACAAGTAAAAACTCATGGTTCCAGTTCGAGACAATCGTGTTAGATACCCCATTGGATGGCCTGGACATGTAAAAACACGTGGATCCAGCTCTGGGCAACCATCCTAGATACACCCCTGGGTGGCCTGGACACGTTAAAACACGTGGTCCTTGCTCGGGACAACCATGTTAGATACCCCCTCGGTGGCCTGGACACGTAAAAACACGTGGTGCCAGCTCAGGGCAACCATCTTAGATACACAGTTAAAGCACGTGGTCCTTGCTCGGGACAATCATGTCAGATACCCCCCTGGGTGGCCTGGACACATAAAGCACTTGGTTCCAGCTCGGGACAACCATGTTAGATACCCCCCTGCGCGGCCTGGATACGCTGAATTCGCGCTCCCGCTCGAGACATCCTCACAATGTCTTCCCTGGAAAGGCCCCCAAAGCGCCACCCCCCGTCCAGAGCAAGGAAACATTACTTTTCTGTTTTGGGATATGTGTTCGGATTGCGCTTTTCGGCCCCCCGTGCGTTTTCTGATAATTCGGCGTTGGGCCCGACGCCATGTTAGATACCCCCCTGACGGCCTGCACGCGTAAAAAAAAAAACGCATGGCTCCAGCCCGCCCAGGGGGGATATCCAACATGCGGTCGCCTGGGGCGCCAGCGAGGGACAACCAAATTACCCTGGGTGGCCTGAGCACGTGAGAACAAGCATTTCGCCTGAGACATCCTCTGAATTCTTGCCCCCCGCGAGGTCCCCGCTCGAGACATCCCCAAACACTGCAAAAACATCGTTTCGCCTGAGACATCCTCAACAAACTTATATACAACTGTCATTTCGCTAGGGACATCCTCAACAATAAGTTCGCCGGCCCTTCGCGATCTCGTTATTTATCGCAAATGATTACGCCGGCCCAACAGCCGTCGAAAAGGGTGGGAAACCATATAAAAGAGAACCCTGGGCCCAGGCTCTTTCTAGGAAAACACGCTCCTGCGTCGTCGGCGGCGCCCGCCGCAGACCGCGCCTGTTCATGAGGGAGGCGACTGTTCATGAGGGAGGCGCGGTTCACCTGCTGGGCGCGCCTGTTCTTGAGGGAGGCGCCCGCGAAGGCGAGACGCTCTGAGCCTGCTGTGCGCAACTGGGAAACTCGCTCGCGGGCCCCCCACGCTCCGTCGCCCGTGCGAACTCGAGGATGCTCGAGCCAGGGCGGCTTGCGCAGAAAGAGAAGGAGAAGGACGAGGAAGTCGGAGGAGAAGCCACGGCGTATCGAAGGCCGTGGCGGCGCGCCCCGCCATCAGGGAGCCAGCCGCGACAATACTGTTTTCCCATGCATGTCATCTCTCATATTACTACGCACTTCCTTCCCTCTTACATCTCACAGATTCCTCCGTTTCTCAATCGTGACGTCAGAACTGCCGCTGATCGACCATGAGACGCCTTCATCGGCGACCTTGCGACGACAGTTATGTCAACCAACATAAGCATGGCGAGCGACTCCAGCAGCTACACACTCAGTCCCAGTACAACTCGGCACAAAAGAAGACAACGCGACCGCCGTACACATGTAGTGCGCGCACACAGGGCTACCAAACATATTACTACTCAGCTCAAGACTAAGCGGGATCGGGTGGACATAACTATCAAAAAGCATGGGCGGGATCGGGTGTTGTGCGTCATCTTGATATGTGCTGTCGGTTTTCTTAACTGAACTCGAACTGTAGATAAGCTACAGAGCTGAAAGGCACACCGAATCAACATGAAATGATCAGGAACGCTCGTCTTAAATATCTAGACGCCTCAGATGTGTCTGCTACCACAGCTGCGACCAAAAAAACATGATCGACCCACGAACCCGGAAAGGAATATAGACATCTAACGCATGGCAGCGTTTTCAAAGACACCTGATTGGGTGACGGGCAAATACAATGCTGAGTGTATCGATCCTAATGTACCGTGCCGAGGGCTGTGCTGTGCTACGCCGTGCTAAACTGCGATGTGCCATGCCGCGATTGTGCTCTGTAGTGTCGTGGATCGAGTCCTCCTTTGCATCCGAGTCCTGACCGAACTGATCTGGATCTTAAGCTCGAGCTGCCTGAAAACATAGTAGCTGCCCCAGAGCTAATTGACAGGGGGACATGCCAGGAGGACGCGCTGCGAAACGTCCCAGGGGACGCGCCAGGCGACGTGCCAGGGGATGTGCCATGGGGTCGCACCGCGGGACGTGCAAAGTACAATGCTGAATGTGTCGATCTTGATGTACCGTGCCGAAGTCTGTGCTGTGCTGCGCCGTGCTGAATTGCGATGTGCCATGCCGCGATTGTGCTCTATAACGTCGTGGATCGAGTCCTCCTTTGCATCCGAGTCCTGACCGAACTGATCTGGATCTTAAGCTCGAGCTGCCTCAAAACATAGCAGCTGCCCCAGAGCTAATTGACAGGGGGACATGCCAGGAGGACGCGCTGCGAAACGTCCCAAGGGACGCGCCAGGCGACGTGCCAGGGGACGTGCCATGGGACAAGCGATTCGCTCAACACATCCTCAACACATTCTCATGCTAGACATCCGCCTGGGCGAACTGGACACGTGAAAACAATTGGTTCGCTCGAGACATCCTCAACACATCTTCACGTGAGACGTCCGCCTGGGTGACCTGGCACGTGAAAGCAAACGTCTCGCTCGAGACATCCTCAACACATCTTCGTGTTAGACATCCGCCTGGGCGCCCTGGACACGTGAAAACAAGCGTATCTCTCGAGACATTCTCAACACATCCTCATGCTAGGCATCAGCCTGGGCAACCTGGACACGTGCAAACAAGCATCTCGATCGAGATTCCTCAACACATCCTCATGCTAGACATCTGCCTGGGCGACGAGGACGCGTAAAACCAAGCGTCTCGCTCGAGACATCCTCAACAAATCCTGGCGCTAGACCTCTGCCTGGGCAACCTGATCTGGATCTTAAGCTCGAGCTGCCTGAACACAGCAGCTGCCCCAGAGCTAATTGACAGGGAGATATGCCAGGAGGACGCGCCGCGGATCGTCCCAAGGGACGCGCCAGGCGACGTGCCAGGGGACCTGCCACGGGGCAAGCGCTTCGCTCGAGACATCCTGTCAACATCCTCATGTTAGACATCCGCCTGAGCGACCTGGACACGTGGAAACAAGCACTTCGCTCAACACATTCTCAACACATTATCATGCTAGACATCCGCCAGGGCGAACTGGGCACGTGAAAACAAGTGGTTCGCTCGAGACATCCTCAACACATCTTCACGTGAGACGTCCGCCTGGGTGACCTGGCACGTGAAAGCAAACGTCTCGCTCGAGACATCCTCAACACATCTTCATGTTAGACATCCGCCTGGGCGCCCTGGACACGTGAAAACAAGCGTATCTCTCGAGACATTCTCAACACATCCTCATGCTAGACATCCGCCTGGGCAACCTGGACACGTGCAAACAAGCATCTCGATCGAGATTCCTCAACACATCCTCATGCTAGACATCCGCCTGGGCGACGAGGACGCGTAAAACCAAGCGTCTCGCTCGAGACATCCTCAACAAATCCTGGCGCTAGACCTCTACCTGGGCAACCTGGAGGCGTGAAACCAAGCGTCTCGCTCGAGACATCCTCAAGACCTGGGCACGTGAAAACAAGCATTTCACTTCAGAGATCCTCTGAATTCTGGTCCCCAGGAGAGGACAATCTATCACACAAAACAAGCGTTTCGCTCGAGACATTCTTGACAGATTCAAAAAAAAAAAAAAGCGTTTCGCTAAGGACATCCTCAAATTTAAGTTCGCGAGCCCTACGCGACCTCGTCATTTATCCCAAAAGAAATTCGCCGGCCCTACAGCCGTCAGATCCGGGGGCAAACCCCTAAAAGACAGCCCTGGGCCGACGCCCTTTCCGGGAACTATGTACACTCTTTGAAATGTTTGAGAGACAATGTTGGTTGTCTCTCCGTAATTCGAGCTCTAGGCAAGCTACGGAGCTAGGAAGCACACCGTTCAACAGGGAATGATCAGGAACATTCGCCAACGGTATCGGGACGTCTGAGATCTGGTTGCTTCCAGAGCAGCGACTGGAAATTCTATTCCCACTCTACAGATTTTAAAAGATCAAGGTTTGTTTTCTCCGCTCAATTCGAGCTTCAGGCGAGCTATGGTGCTGGGATGAACCCCTATCGACAAGAAATCATATGGAGCGCTAGTCAAAAAGTATCTAGAGGCCTGAGATCGGTCGAATACCAGAGCTGCAACCAAAAAAAGGCGCGCACTATCAATTTTTTTTGAGAGGCGACGTTCGTTCTCCCCACTTAATCCGAGCTGTAGGCAAGCTACGGAGCTGGGACTGTTCACCAGGGAATGATGAAGAACACTTGCCTGCAGCATCGAGACGCCTGAGATCGGTATGCTACCAGAGCTGCAACTGAAAACCTAGCCGCACACTGAAATTGTTTTTTCTGTGAGAGATAAGGATTGTTTTGTCTACTTAAGTCGAGCTGTAGGCGAGCCACGGAGCTGAGATGCACGCCAACCGACAGGGCACGATCAGGCGCGCTAGTCTAAAGTATCTAGACGCCTGAGATCGGTCTGCTACCAGAGCTGCGACCAGAGCACTATCTGCATTCTTCAGTGTTGTTGAGAAGTGATGTTGGTGTTGTCGACTTGTTTCGAGCTGCAGGCGAGCTACGAGACTCAGATGCACACCTATCGACAGGAAATGCTGAGGAGCGCCAGTCTAAAGTATCTAGACGCCTGAGATTGTTCTGTGACCAAAGCTGCGACCAAACATGATCGACCCACGAACCCGGAAAGGAATATAGAAATGTAATGCATTGCAACATTTCAAAGACACCTGATTGGGCGACGGGCACATGCAATGCTGAATGTATCGATTATGATGTACTGTGCCGAGGGCTGTGCTATGCTACGCCGTGCTGAACTGCGATGTGCCATGCCGCGATTGTGCTCTATATAGCGTTGTGGATCGAGTCCTCCCTGGCATCCGAGTCCTCACCGAACTGATCTGGAGCGTAAGCTCGAGCTGCCTGAGCAGATGGTAGCTGCCCCAGAACTCATCGACAGAGGGAACATGCCAGGAGGACGCGCCGCGGAACGTCCCAAGGGACGCGCCAGGCGACGTGCCAGGTAGACTCGCCGCGGAACGCGCCAAGGAACGTGCCAAGGTGCATAGTTGAGTGTATCGATCTTGATGTACCGTGCCGACGGCTGTGCTGTGCTACGCCGTGCTGAACTGCGATGTGCCATGCCGCGATTGTGCTCTATATAGCGTTGTGGATCGAGTCCTCCCTGGCATCCGAGTCCTCACCGAACTGATCTGGAGCGTAAGCTCGAGCTGCCTGAGCAGATGGTAGCTGCCCCAGAACTAATCGACAGGGGAACATGCCAAGAGGACGCGCCGCGGAACGTCCCAAGGGACGCGCCAGGCGACGTGCCAGGGGACGTGCCATGGGCACGCACCGCGGGACGTGCCAAGGGGACGCGCTACGGAACGTGCCAATGGACGTGCCGCGGACGTGCCAGGGGGACTCGCCACGGGACGCTCCGCGGAACGTGCCAGGCAACATGCCAGGCTGCAATGCTAAGGGTATCGATATTGATGTACCGTGCCGAGGGCTGTGCTGTGCCTGGGCGACCTGGACACGTGAAAACACCCGTTTCGCTCAAGACGTTGTCAGCACATCCTCATGCTAGACATCCGCCTGGGCAACCTGGACACGTGCAAACAAGCGTCTCGCTCGAGACATCCTCAACAAATGCTCATGCTAGACATCCGCCTGGGCGACCTGGACACGTGAAAACAAGCCTCTGGTTCGAGACATCCTCAACAAATCCTCATGCTAGACATCTGTCTGGGCCACCTGGAGGCGTGAAGCCAAGCGTCTCGCTCGAGACATCCTCAAGACCTGGGCACGTGAAAACAAGCATTTTACTTCAGAGATCCTCTGAATTCTGGTCCCCAGGAGAAGACAATCTATCACACAAAACAAGCGTTTCGCTCGAGACATCCTCAACAAATTCTGAAAAACTAGCGTTTCGCTCGAGACATCCTCAATTTTTAATTCGCCGGCCCTACGCGACCTCGTTATTTATCGCAAAAGAATTCGCCGGCCCTACAGCCGTCAAAACCGGGAGTAAACCTACTAAAAGAGAATACTCGGCATATGCCCTTTCCGGGACATGATGGACCCACGAACCCGGAAAGGGATATAGACATGTGGAGCATGGACACGTTTTCATGATACCCAACTGGGCAACACCTCACGAAACATCCCACGAGACACCTCACGAAACAGCCCACGAGACACCTCACGAAACATTCCACGAGACACCTCACGAAACATTTCACGAGACACCCCGCGAAACATTCCACGAGACACCCCACGAAACATTCCACGAAACATTCCACGACGACAGGCAACCACTCAACCAAGGCGTGCTGTGGTCGTGCTGGGGTGTGGTCGTGCTGGGGGGTGGTCGTGCTGGGGGGTGGTCGTGCTGGGGGGTGGTCGTGCTGGGGGGTGGTCGTGCTGGGGCGTGGTCGTGCTGGGGCGTGGTCGTGCTGGGGCGTGGTCGTGCTGGGGCGTGTCTGGGGCGTGGTCGTGCTGGGGCGTGGTCGTGCTGGGGTGTGGTCGTGCTGTGGTAAGGTCGTGCTGGGGTGCGGTCGTGCTGGGGTGTGGTCTTGCTGGGGTGGGGTCGTGCTGGGGTGTGATCGTGCTGGGGTGGGGTCGTGCTGGGGTGTGGTCGTGCTGGGGTGTGGTCGTGCTAGGGTGGGGTCGTGCTGGGGTGGGGTCGTGCTGGGGAGTGGTCGTGCTGGGGTGTGGTCGTGCTGGGGTGTGGTCATGCTGGGGCGTGGTCGTGCTGGGGTGGGGTCGTGCTGGGGTGGGGTCGTGCTGGGGTGGGTTCGTGCTGGGGTGCTCCGCACCCTGTGATTTATCGATCGGGTCGTGCTGGGGTGTGGTCGTGCTGGGGTGTGGTCGTGCTGGGGTGTGGTCGTGCTGGGGTGGTCGTGGGGTGTGGTCGTGCTGGGGTGTGGTCGTGCTGGGGGTGGTCGTGCTGGGGTGTGGTCGTGCTGGGGGGTGGTCGTGCTGGGGGGTGGTCGTGCTGGGGGGGTGGTCGTGCTGGGGGGTGGTCGTGCTGGGGCGTGGTCGTGCTGGGGCGTGGTCGTGCTGGGGCGTGGTCGTGCTGGGGTGTGGTCGTGCTGTGGTGAGGTCGTGCTGGGGTGTGGTCGTGCTGGGGTGTGGTCTTGCTGGGGTAGGGTCGTGCTGGGGTCGGGTCGTGCTGGGGTGTGGTCGTGCTGGGGTATGGTCGTGCTGGGGTGGGGTCGTGCTGGGGTGGGGTCGTGCTGGGGTCTGGTCGTGCTGGGGTGTGGTCGTGCTGGGGTATGGTCGTGCTAGGGTGGGGTCGTGCATTTCGCTCGAGACATCCTGCCAAAATTCCAGGAAATCGTACAAAAACAAACGAATTAGTCGAGACATCATCGAAATTCCTTCGCGCGGGGCGCTTTTCCGCGTCGCGGTCGGCTCTGCAAAACAAGCGTTTCGCTCGAGACATCCTCGGCAAACTCTGCGGAGCAAGCGTTTCGCTCGAGACATCCTCAACACACGAAAAAGTGGCCCGCACCCTGTGATTTATCGATCGGGATTTCAAAAACAAGCGTTTCGCTCGAGACATCCTCAAATTTTAATTCGCCGGCCTCCTTCGACCTCGTTATTTATCAGGGAAAAAATTCGCCGGCCTCCCTCAAGTTGGCACCGGGGGACAGGTTTACCTACTAAAAGAGAACCCTGGGCCCCAGCCCTTTCCGGGAAAAAAACAATGTACACTCTTCGCAGTTTGGAGAGGCGTTGCTGGTTTTCTCCACATAATTCGAGCTGAAGGCAAGCTACCTACGGAGCTAGGAAGACCGAATACTGCAGGCGCATGTTCCTGATAATTTCCTGTTGATCGGTGTGCTTCTCAGCTCCGTTGTCTACAGCTCGAATTAAGTAAAGAAACCAACATCACCTATTGAAATAATTCAAGAGCGCGAATCGTTTTTTCGTCGCAGCACTGGTAGCAGACCAATGTCCTACGTCTAGATATGTTTGACTAGCGCTTCTCACCATTTCCTGTCGATTGGCGTGCATCTCAGCTCCGTAGCTTATCTACAGCACGAGTTGAGTTAAGAAACCCGACAGTAAATTACAGAGTGCGAATAGTTGTTCGATCGCAGCTCTGGTAGCAGAGCGATCTCAGACGTCTCGATACTGTAAGTGAACGTTCCTGTGGGCTGCCACGCAGCGGAGCGCCTCCGCCGCTCCAGTCTGGCCAGCGAAATTCAGGAAGACCTCCTCGGAGCTCCTGCCCGCGGAAGCGGCCGCTGGGGTCGGAGACGACGCCTCGGAGTGGGCCGCAGCGAAATCAGCGAGCTCTTGCACAAGGTCTGGGTGCCTCTGGGCGGCAGCACGCCAAATGTCAGCCTCGATGGCCCTCGACGCCACGGCTTCCGCCACAGCTGCTGCCAGGACGTCTTCCAAGCACTCGAGCACGACTTCGAAATTGTGGTTGGCGCACTCCGCGAAGCTGAACAACAGGGACTCACTGGCGGCGGGCGAGATGACAGCGCGCATGCGATCCTCGGGCGCAGAGCTGGCGCCGCCCACGAGTCATAGGCAATGCCGCCTATCCGTGGGGCTCAGAAGGGCTGACAGGTGAGGCTGGACCTGAGCCACAGAAGCACGACGAGCGCCTGCAGCAGCGAACAGGGTTGGCGGTGCCTCCAAGATCGGGCATTGCCCGACCACGAAGGCCCTGCGAGCCAGGGAACGCGTTGCAGGACGCATCAAGATGGCGAAGCGACGGAGAAGAACGTGCACACGGGGAAGCAGACTCTGAGCCCGTGGCTAGAGCCAAACATGTTCGACCCACGAACTGGAAAGGGATTCAGAATCGAAAGGCCTGTCACGAATCAGCTCAATAAGGCGATGGGCAATGGCAGTGCCGAAGATGTCTATGGTGATGATATATACCGTGCGACGGGCTGCGTTGTGCTGCACTGGATGCCAGGGGGCGCGCCGCGGAACGTCCCAAGGGACGCGCCTGGGGACGTGCAAGGAACGTGCCAAAGGCTGGGCCGCTGGACGTGCCATAGCGACGCGCCACGGAAAGCGCCAAGGGAACGCACAACGCGACGTTCTAGGGGGACGCGCCACAGGAAGCGCCATGCAACCTGCCAAGATTGGCCGAACTGATTTGGATCTTAAGCTCAAGCTGCCGAATGCAAGGCCCTCCCGAAGCCGATCGTGGTCGAAACGCGCGTGGCACTCGACCAACGCGACCTCAAGATCCGAACCAGTTCCAAAGAGGGGCGATCCGAGATGCGGGGACGCCCAAATTGAGACGAAACGCGCCGCGCAAAGTGCGTGCCGAAACGCGGCGGACAACGAACCAAACGCCACCCTGGGCGGCCTGGTTCCAGCCAGAGACAACCATGTACGATACCCTCTCTAGGTGGCCTTAACGTAGACCTGAGCGTGCAAAAAAAACACGCGGCTCCAGCTCGGGGCGGCCACGCGGTAGCCTGGACAAGAAACATCGTCCACAAATTCTGCGGGCCAAACGTTTCGTTCGAGACTGTCATCGACGAACCGAAAATGCCATGGTACTGTGTTGGTTACGTGTCTTGATGCTTGCTTCGCTCTGGGACGAAAAGCCCCGCGAGTTTTCACGCCCGCTCCGCTCTGGAGCGAAAAGTGCAAATGTGTTTTCACGCTTGGTCTGCTCGGGAGCACTTACTCTGCTCGTCGGCAGAAAGCAATCTTCCTCCACCCTGAGGCGAAAGGGACCCACGCGTTTCCACGCTTACTCCACTCCAGCGCCATCCCACATGTTTCCACTCAGTTTCTGCCATGAGGCCAAAGATACTCACATGTTTTCACTATTGCACCGCTTTCTGGCGAAAGGGACTCATATGAATTCGCGCTCACTCCGCACTGAGGCGAAAAGGACCCACTCCGCCCTGAAGCGAAAGGGAGCAACGTGTTGTCATGTGGGGGGGAGGGGGGAAAGGACCAATGTTTTGTCACACGCATCCTGCACTGAGGCGAAAGGGACCCACGTGTTTTCACACTAACTCGGCGCTGGGGCTAAAGGGCCTACATGTTTTCATGCTTACTCCGCCCTGAAGCGAAAAGGACACATGTGTAGTCACACCTGGTCCGCTCTGAAGCGAAAAAGACGATGTGTGTGTTCACGCCTGTCCCCCTCGGGTGCGGAAAACCAAACCCTCGTGTTTTCGCGCTTACTCCTCTCGAGGGCGAAAGGGGGAAAAGGGGGCTACGTGCCTTCACACTGACTGCGCCGCGAGGCGAGAAACACCAACGAGAGTACACGCTTGCTCCACTCGGGGGCGAAAAAGCGTGTTCACGGCTGTTCCGCTCTGAGGCGAAAAGGGACCCAAGTGTTGTACGCTGACACCGCCGCTGAGGGCGGGGGTGGGGGGCGAAAGGGACCCAAATGTTTCCACACTTACTCCGACCTCAGAATAAAGATACCAACGTGTTTTCACATGCTCGGGGGCGAAAGGGACTCACCCTCTTCCACGCTTGCTCCGCTGTGAGGCGAAAAGGATTAGGACGAAAGGGACGGCCTCTTCACTTCTCCGAAACAAGCATCTCGCCAGAGTGCTGAGGTCTATATGATTTTAGCATGTTTCAAAAGCATCAGAGCAGAAAAGAGAGGGAGCGCGCGACCGCAGGAATCTGGGATGCTCAAATAATATGATATATTGTCATGGTGAAGCGTAGCGCAATATCCATTCCTACCCTATTGCATCCGTACGTTGAGGTTTTGCTTGTTCGATTTATAGTCGCACGCACAGTCGAGGAAAGGCGGCGACGGCAGAACAAATAGCTGCAACACTCAAGGAACCATCAGATGGGAAAACCATCACAAAATCAGAACGGTCGGAATGGCCGGTTTTCAATTTCAAGCTTCTGAATTACATTGCTTCTCCTGGCATTCGCATAGCGTGTGATTGAGCATGTTGCCAAGCCGACGAGATCACGACAAATTATGGTTTTGCTCTACACATGGTGGAGTTACATTCACATAGCTCAAAAACCACTAGCAGCATGTACGCAGCATTTGCGTCTTTGGTTGAGGGTGAAGCATTGGACACCCCCGAAGACGTCACGGACGGACTGAGATTTGGAACATGGCGTCTTTGGCTGTTAAGATTCTTGACCCCCTGTCCGCCAGCCGCCGTCGAAACGACTTGAAGCAACTCATGAACCCATCACAAGTACAACGGTCGGAGCTGCGGTCGGCGATAGAAAAATGAAAGAAACGAGTGTCAGAGTACGAGAACCGTGCAGGAACGCAGCCCTTCCATGACTAAATCATGGCGCCAGCTCTCATCAGCATGTGTCTGAGCAAACTTGGTGACAAATTGCTTCTAAATTCACAGCGGTACGTAATGAATAATTCCCAGATACGCCAGGCCATCGTGAATTACCATTACAGCGAAGACCCCAGACAGAGCTCTGATAGGATCGGCTTGCCCTGCCCGCCTTTGCAGGCAGGGCCGATCAAGGAGGTAAAGGTCATTAGATGTCTCCATTGCGGTAGCAACAACCACTACTGAAGCTACGAATGAGAGGTGTTTCTGCAAAAGGAAGACGGGATACGGAAAAGGGAAATACGGAGGAGGAGCAGGTTACGAAGAACATGATCGACCCACGAACCCGGAAAGGAATGTAGAACTGTAACACATGGCAGCGTTTTCAAAGACACCTGATTGGGTGACGGGCAAATGCAATACTGAAGGTATCGATCTTGATGTACCCTGCCGAGGGCTGTGCTGTGCTGCGCCGTGCTGAATTGCGATGTGCCATGGCGCGACTGTGCTCTATAGCCTCGTGGATCGAGTCCTCCTTTGCATCCGAGTCCTGACCGAACTGATCTGGATCTTAAGCTCGAGCTGCCTGAACACATAGTAGCTGCCCCAGAGCTAATGGACAGGGGAACATGCCAGGAGGACGCGACGCAGAACGTCTCAAGGGACGCGCCAAGCGACGTGCCAAGGGACGTGCCATGGGGACGCATCGCGGGACCTGCCAAGGGGACGCGCTACGGAACGTGCTGGGGACAAGCGTTTCGCTCGAGACATCCTGTCAAAATCATCTGAATTCCTACGCGCGGGACGCTGCACGCGCGAGACATCCTCGGAATTCCTGCGAGCGGGACGTGAAAACAAGCATTTCGCCTGAGACATCCTTTGAATTCTGGCCCCCCACGAGGCCACCGCTCGAGACATCCTCCAATTTTGCAAAACCAGCGTTTCGCTCGAGACATCCTCAACAAATTATGAAAAACAAGCGTTTCGCTCGAGACATCCTGTCAAAATCCCAAGAAATCCAAATACCCGCGCGCGGGACGCGGCACGCGCGAGACATCCTTGGAATTCCTGCGCGAGGGGCGCTTTTCCGTGTCGCGGTCGGCTCTGCAAAACCAGCGTGTCGCTCGAGACATCCTCAACAAATTCTGAAACCAAGCGTTTCGCTCGAGACATCCCCAACTCTGCAAAACCAGCGTCTCGCTCGAGACATCCTCAACAAATTCTGAAAAACAAGCGTTTCGCTAGGGACATCCTCAATTTTTAATTCGGCGGCCCTACGCGACCTCGATATTTATCGCAAAAGAAATTCGCCGGCCCTACAGCCGTCAAAACCGGGGGGAAACCAACTAAAAGAGAACCCTGGGCTCAGGCCCTTTCCGGGAAAAAAGAGACAGTGGAAGGATTGACGATAAAACAAGTGGTGGTTAGAAAAGCGACCGCGGGAAGAATGCAGGCATGAAGGGTTTGAATAACCACCATGGGAACTTCTCGGGATAAGGCCCCCGATTTCAGAAGGGCTACAAGTTGCATTCCAAAAGCAGTGCCTCAGCGGGGGCACGCTCCGGAACGTGAAACAGCAGGTCTGATTTCCAAGGTAGCCGCTGGACATGCGGTGGATGCCACAAGCAAACAGATTGCCCCAGAAACTAGATACCTCCACCACACGAGTTGCGTCTCGACTCGTCTGGCGCCATCATGGAGAAGTGCGCTGGAGATTCCGAGCCGCACAAGGAAGAAATATGAGTCAAGATGGCTTGGTTCTGCAGGCGTTAGAAAACGGCACGAGGTTTGTAATTACGAGTTGGTGGACGAGGCGATCGAAAAACAACCCCATGACACTCAGGACCCGTGCTTTGCCGCAAGTGCACTTGGCTGTTGATAACACAATTCGCCGGCCCAACGGGCCAGGGCGTGCTAAAATCTCCGGTAACTGGTTAACAGTATTAACAGTATTTCTAGTTCGCGCGCGCGGGGCGGCCCCTGGGGGTCCCCCGGCGAAAAGTACCCCGACCGCCGCCCGACCAAGTCTACTCAGAGATGGTTTTCCTTCTGGGTGCGGCCTCTCAGGCTCCCCAGAGCGCGCTCAGAGTGCCCCAAGAGGCCCCCAAGACTGCCCAAGAGGCCCCCGAGACGCCCAAAGAGCGCTCGAAGACGCCGAAGATGACCCCAAGACGGCCCAAAAGGCCCCCAAGACAGCCCAAGAGGCCTCCAAGACGCCCCAAGAGCCTTCCAAGAGGCCTCCGAAGAGAGCCCCAAGAGGCCAAAATCGTGGATTTTCATTTGTTTTTTCTATGTTTTTTGTGTTCTGGCTTTTTCGGCTTCCGGACGCTCCAAGACGGCCCAAGAGGCCCCCAAGACCGCTCCAAGACGGCCCACGAGGCTCCCAAGACGGCCCCGGAACGGCCCAGGAGGGCCCCCAAGACGGCCCAAGTGCCGCCCAAGACGACCAAGAGGCCCCAAGACGGGCCCAAGAGGGGCTCAAGAGGGGAACCGAGAACTGAAAAATCGAGCCCTCC